AAAAAAAAAAAGATAACTACATGAGAGCTCCAATGAAGGGTCTGTCCTGGCTGCCAGGTTGCTCTTAGCAACCCAAGTACTCATACTCAAAGGATAATTGAATGACCACAGCCAAGAGAGGTCCCCAGACTTCCTTACAGATGCCATTTATAATGCTCACAAACATGGCACTGTTAGCTTTGACTTCGGACCTTCTGATGTGCCCCCAGAGTGGGAGTTCCTAGGACAAGTGATTTTTCCAAAAAGATACCAGGAGCTGGGGATGTGGCTCAGTTGGTGAAAGGCTTGCCTGGTGTGCACAAAGCCTGCATTTGCTCTTCAGCACTCATGAAACCTAACACGATGGTCCAAGCCTGGAATCCCAACGCTTGGGAGGTGGAGACAGGAGGATCAGAAGTCACAGATCGTCTTTGGCTGCGTAGTAAGTGGCCTAGATAAATAGGACTCTGACTCAAAACATAACTAACACCCCAATGGAGTGGGGCACATCTTTAATCCTAGTACTTGGAAGACAAAAGCAGGTGGGTCTCTGGGAGTTCAAGATCAGTTTGGTCTACATAGAGAGTTCCAGGCCACCCAATGCTACGTGATGAGACCTTGTCTCAAAACAACAACAACAACCTATGAGGCCCCAGTGGCCTATAAGCACTGTGTCTCGGCAGCAGAGAAAGAAATGCGAGTCAAGCCCCAGGATTTGCCACGTGCCCAGAAAGGCTGAGATGAGAACACAGAGGTTAGCAAGTGTTCTGGATGAGATCTGTCCCTAGAAGGGTGCCTCTCCTGAATGAACTGTGTTCACCCGCTGGCCAGCGGGTCAGCCTGATAAAACTGAGTTTAGGAATGTCCAGAGCATCTTCAGTAGTTAGAGAAGGAGGTACAGCACAGACGCAGTGAAAGAGGAACCTGCCCACAGTCAAATGAGTGACACGCATACTGAACCCTACAGGGCAGTGAGAAAAGAGACACATGCACCATGGTTCCATCCACATAAGGTTCAAAGCCCAACAAAACAGTTGGCGCACCTTGTGATCAGTTAGGGAAGTGGCAGCATCAGGAGCTGCTCCAAGACCACAGAAAGGCACAGACACTTGCCTTGGGCCACAGCCATAGCTAGTGGTCCAGGATGGACCCGTGACCTTTTTGGATGGGTCCAGCAAGGACTTAGGATGAGCCAGTAAGGGCAGATTGTCTTGGTAATATAGATTGGAACTGAGAATGGGGATGGAATCTTAAAAGACACACTGACCTTGTGTGCCACGAGCCTGGACCACTCATGATCTTGGGAGGAAAGAGAAACTGCACAAGCCACAAAGAAACCAACACATCCCCCCTTCCCTCTCACATGATGACTGAGAGCTTCTTTGGTCTCTATCAGCCTGAAATCTCACCAAGGGTTGCCTTGAGGTCTATGCCTCAGGCCTGGCCAGGTTCACAGTTGTGGCCCTGGCTGAGAAAGTGGCACTGAGAAGAGGCTGGCTGACTCTGGGGTTGTCTTAGGATCATGTCGATGGGTCTCATCTTGGTTGCTGAAATAGATGCCCTCAAACATATAGCTCAGAGCAAGGGAGGTGGCCCCTTTCCTCCTTTTCCCTATCCCAGGGCTGTTTCTCAGGGACATTATGTTCAACATAGAGGCTCTGGGAGGATCTATTCTATTAGCCCCTGGTCATCAGTTCCCCACCCCATAGCATAGCCAGCCAGCCAAAAAGGTAGTGTAACTCCTAGCGCCCCAAACTGCTGACTGCTTACCCTACCTCTCTGGCTAAGAGTCTGCCTTTAGTTGTAAAATGGAACCTTCTGAGGTTGCGGCTACACAAGGCAAACTCCACACACTCAACTAACACCCCAGTTTTCATCCATGTGTTGAGGGGCATAGCTCTCTCTTGCACTGGCCTCTGAGCCCCAGTGCCCATCTGCAAACTGAAGTCAGTTGACACACCTACTCAAGAGAGAGACAAGCTTCACCTAGACCCTGCAAATGACATGCTGCGCTCTGCATCTGCATGCTTCTGTTGGGACAAAACCCCTCAAGTGTGGCTGGGAGAGTCTTGCAAAGAGGCTTCAACAGTAAAGCAACTGAAGACTGAGGCCCTTCCCAAGTGCACACATGCACACTCAGACACATAGTAAAACAACACACACATGCACATATTTACATGCGCACAGACACATGCCTACACACACATAACCAAGACTCTGGGCTTTGCAGCCTGGGAGTCAGCATGGAAGGCCCAGCTCAAGATTCTGCTGTGAGTTCTTGGCTAAATTGCTTCACTTCTCTGAATTCAGCTCCCCCTTCCATGAAATGCACTCACAGTAGGCCATCACGTGGAGCTGTTGTGAGAATTCAGCACGGTGATGTTTAAGCAAAAGCTGAGAGAGTACTGAGAAGGGAGGAGTGCTCCACATTGTGCAGGCGGCTGAGATCTGGCGAGAGGAGGAGGGCAAAAGAGGGGAGAAGAAAAGGACGGGGAGGACACACCCCCAGGGCCAGCGGATCGCCCACCAGTAAGGGGTGTCTACCAGTCAAAGGGCAGGCGAGGGGCGGGGAACAGCTTCACTCACAGCTCTTATGTGATTGGCCGGACTGCGTGGGGCCCGTCTGACAGCTCTGCAGCCCCCACACCAATTACAGGCTCTTAGTCACAGGTTCCTGCCCGCACTTCCTCTCAGCAGCAGGAGAAAGAACAGCCTTGATGGGGCTAGTCCTTCCCACCCCCTCCATCCCGCCTAGCCTAGCTCGGATGAGGAGGAGAATGGGCAGTAACCCAGCAAAGCAGAGCGTGGCCTCTGAGGCCCTCTAGAACCCGGAGGCCCTATAGGAGGGGACAGACTGAGGTGGGAGCACATTTAGAACAAAAAGACTGAAACTTTGGCTAGCTGTTCCTTCAGATGAAGAAAGTGGTACCCGCTACCAGGCCGACTGCCACACAGGCAGTCTCCTACTTTATATGATATGTCAGAGGGCACGACAGGTCAAGCTGAAGCATGGTGCTCGGAGCATAAGGAACATGGATCCTCTCAATCAGTTCTGTAAGACCGGCGTCTTGCCTGCCCAGCTGTGTGGCTCTGCTTCATGTCTTTCCTCTGTTATCAGTGACACCAGCCAAGGCTGAGTCTTAGCTGGCTGGGGGAGGGGGACCACAATGGTACTTCGAGGCCATTTACCCATTTAGCTGTGTAGTTACTGCAGGACGGGAGCCCATTGGGGCCGGGGCCTTATGACACAGGCCATGGGCTGTTCCTGGCTTGGTGGCCCCTGAGGGCTAACATCTTTATTGAGCAGGACAGTACTTGGTCTTTGTGGTAGGGGGGAGTATTTGAGACAGGTTTCTTGTGTAGCTCTCTTCTGGAACTTGCTCTGTAGACCAAGCTGGCCTTGAACTCACAGAGATCTGCCTGCCTCTACTGGGATTAATGGCATGCACCACCACCACCCAACATTTGTTTTGTTTTTCAGACAGGGCCTTACTATGTAGCCATACTGGGAGGGACCACTTAGCACTTAGTATTTTTATGGCTTAGCTATGGAAGTTACCTTAGACCCCCAAGTCTGCCCAAGTTCAGAAAGAGAATGTAAGCCCACCTCTCAGTGGAATAAACTCAAAGCCTTGTTAAGCAGCCTTACTCGTCTATGGCAGACGAGGAGCAAGGATCAGACCTCCTCAGATGGAGAGGCATTATCTCAGGCCAAACACTGATACAAATCCACAGGTGTTAGAAGCTGGAGCCAGGTAGCTTGACCAGCAGATGCCTCCCAGCTTGCAGAGGAGCAGGGGGATCCCACAGCATGCCGGAGTCTACCTCCAGGGCAGGTCCCAGGGGGGCAGGCTGTGGGGCTCTCGGTCACTCTAGGACCCCTACTCCAGCCAACTTGGAAATTCTTCACTGGAGGCCCTAGAGTCGTTCTCACGTTGTATGCTCAAGAGTGAGGAAGGTTCTGAATATCTGGGAACACATTCCGGCTGCCTTGTCAGGGGTTCAGTTCACACAAGCTCCTCTGGATTCCAAAAACCAAATGGCACACACTTCAATGTAGCAAAAAGGGTGAAAACAGGAACTTTGCAAAGCAAGGATGCCCTGACCCTGCCGTCATCGTGTCTGACGCAGGCAAGTCCCTCCACTGGTCTGAGCCTTGATTTCTTTGTGAAGTGAGAGCCTGGGACACGCTTCTGGACCAGGTTCCTCAAATGTTGACAGAAACTCAGCTCCTTCTTGCTTTGTGGTATGAGAGCTGATGCTTCTCTGAAAGGACCAATTCTTGGAAGGACTGTTCCTTCCTCATCTCTCTGGCCAGCAGCTGTCCAAAGCCCACTACACTGATTCTCCTACATGCATAAACCACGCCCCTTCTCCACCACCTGCTGCTGCTAGGATCCCAGGCCCCTTGGCTTCACCAAAGAAGAACTCAGGCAAGATTTCTAGGAACTGGTGGGCTCTTGCACTGTGGGGACTGGGTCTGACTTGGGATGACACCCTGGGCCCACAGCCTCTCACCTTGCTGGGGCTCTACCTCCCCATATATCCATGGATAGTATATTCTTCTGGTGTCCTTTCTGTCCCCAAAGAGACCAAAAATCCACCGGCCTTTCCGGAATCGTAGCCAGGTTACCATGGTGATGCCTATTATCTGGGCTTAACGGGAGATGAATCAGTAGCTAAAAATAACCCCAGAGTGGATAGATAGATTGATAGGTGGGTGGGTCTGATTCAGGATTGGGACAATTTGTTTTTCTCAGATAAGATAATTGAGAGGAAATCTCAATTAGAAATCCACCCCCACTCAGACAGGTGGAAGCTGCCCTCAGCCGACAGCTTGTGGCACATGGTGAATCCTGAGTGCCAGCCAAAGTCACTCAGGTCTGCTGACACATTAGCAGATATTGGCTGAGGGGACCTAAAGACCAGGCCCAAAATCCTTACTGTTGTGGGTGACCTGATGAGCCTGGTTCTAGGGACATTCACACCAGATCCCCTGAAGCAAGAAAGGCACAAGGATGTGAGGATAAAGGGATACTTTATTAGATCCAAAACCACCTCCCACAGACCCTGCAGGCCCCAGGGTCTCAGGTATGGGCACAGGTGGGAGTGATGCCAGACAGGACAGAGAAACCTATGGGACTGTGTGCCTAGGCCGAGGTGTCCTCAAGGGTTGGGGTGCTGCCTCTCCCCACAGAATCAAATGACACCACCCCTTCACCCAGGGAGGCACTCCGCAGCTGAGCTGTCAGGCCCCCTCCAGTTCTCTCAGCATACCCTGCTCCATGCCTGTTGGGTGCAGAGGAGGTGCAGGCATGGGGGAGCTGCTGATTTCTGTCACTCCATGAGGCCTGGATTTCTTCATCTCAGGGAGTAGGCCACCGGCCCAGACCAGCAGAACACAGGAGTAGGGCTGGGGCCTGGGCTAGGTGATAAGCTTCTGAGGGTCTCTGGGGGTTCAGGAGGTGCTGCAGATGGACATGTGGCTCAGGGCCCCCTCGCCTGGCATCCTCATGGTGCTGAGCTGGGACCAGCCCCTCCAGTTTGGGCACCAAGGCTGCGTGGAGGCAGTTCCTTGTGACTGTAATACTCAACCACCTGCTTGGGCACCTCGGCCAACACACACTTGGCCAGTGCTGCAGGAGACGCCTGGATACAGAGACAAGATGGTTACATCTGAGGGCCTTCTATATCCTCATTCCCCTATCTGGGTCATAGTCCCAGGACTCAAATCTACTTAAGGGACATGTGACTTGGCAGTCAGCTGAGCTTCTCCTAAAGACACAGACTGAAAATGCAGCCACCAAGCCCCTACACTGTAATAGAAATAGCTGATGGAGGTGCCCACTCTGTCCGCGGCACGTCTGTGCTGGGATCCCCACCCAGCACAACAGGAAATGGCACGCGCTGAAGGTAAAGTGGGGCCAGGTATCAACCCTCATGAACTCGCAGTGTGCATGTGTGAGAGAATCCATGTGATGTGTTTACTGTGGAGTGACCATGGGGAGCTGTGTGCCATGTCCACAGGAAACCCCCCCCCACACACACACACTCTCTGTGTCGTAGATATTAGGGTCAGAAGCTCACTGCTCAGGCTGGAGAAAAAAGACTGACTAGGGAACCATCCCTCGGGGCTGCTCTTTGGCTGGACACACACAGAATGGGGCCACATTCTGAGCAGGAAAGCCACGTATGCATGGAGCAGTGGGTATCACCCCCAGGGCCCAACCCTCAGTGCCACTCCCCTCCCAGGCACTTACGTTCTTGAGTTCACGGAAGGGCACAAACTGGACGATGTCACGGAGTGCGGGCTCACCGCGTGGGGAACGCAGGACTCCATCATCCCCATCTAGGATCTGCATATCAGTGAAGTCAGCGTTGCCCACCCCAACGATGATGACGGACATGGGCAGATGGGAGGCGCGTACAATGGCCTCTCGCGTGTCTGACATGTCAGTTACCACACCATCCGTGAGGATTAGGAGTATGTAGTATTGCTGGAGGCATAGGGAAGAAGTGGGGGTGCTAGTCTCTGGGTCCTCCCAAGCCGCACACGTCACATCCAGCTCCAGCCCCCACCAGGAGGAGCCCCTACTGTGTGTAGCTCTGCAGCGCCCAGGCTTTTCTAAAACTGTTTTTGCTGAAGCACAACACAATACTTATCACACTCCTAAAGGTAAATTCCGATCGGCCACTATGCGGGGTAAAGCTCAGTGCTCTACCCATCATTGCCAAGTGGCCAGTGACTCCGAGAGGGGCACTGAGAATCTACTTTACAGACAAGGCCACCAAAGCAGGGCTTGACACCAGAGGAGGACTCTTGGGTGGAGAGGGCTCCAACACCCTGATACCAGGGTGCCCTGTCCATGCTTCAAGAATGACAAGAGGTGGACTTGTTTCAAATACAAGTCCATTCTCTTTGTCAAGAATACTACACCCAGCCAGGTGGGATGGTACAGGCCTTTAATCCCAGTGCTAGGGAAGCAGAGGCGAGCTGATCTCTGAATTCCAGGCCAGCCGGGAATACATATAGAGACCCTGTCTTAAAAAACAAACAACAGCCAGGCCTATACAGAGAAACCCTGTCTCAAAAAACCAACCAACCAACCAACAAACAGACCCCACAATCATTTTCGTAAAAACTTGGACAACAGAGCTGGAAAGATGGCTCAGAACCTGGGTTTGATTCTCAGCACCCACATGGGAGCTCACAACCATCTATAACTCCAGTTCCAGCAGATCCTACACCCTTCTTCTAGCCTCTGTGGGCACACAATGCACAGACATACATGCAGACAGAACACTCATACACATACAATAAACATCACAAAAATTGTTTAAATACTTGGACAGTTGGGGTTAGAGAGATGGTTCAGGGGTTAAGAGCACAGGCTACTCTTCCAGAGGACATGGATTCATTCCCAGCATTCCTATAGGGGTTCACAACCATCTGTAAATCCAGTTTCAGAGAATCTGATGCCCTCTGACCTCTGTTTTTTGTTTTTTGTTTTGGTTTTTCAAGACAGGGTTTCTCTGTGTAACTTTGCGCCTTTCCTGGAACTCACTTGGTAGACCAGGCTGGTCTCGAACTCACAGAGATCCACCTGCCTCTGCCTCCCGAGTGCTGGGATTAAAGGCGTGCGCCACCACCGCCCGGCGCCCTCTGACCTCTGTAGGCACCAGGCACACACTTGGAGTACAGACTTGCATATAGGCAAAATCCACACATATAAAGTTTAAAAAAATAGAAGCTATAAAAAAAAAAAACTATGTTAGGCAGCTGGATCTCTGAGTTCAAGACCAGTCTGGTCTACAGAGTGAGTTCCAAGACAGCTAGGGCTACACAGAGAAATCCTGTCTCAAAAAAATGAGAGAGAGAGAGAGAGAGAGAGAGAGAGAGAGAGAGAGAGAGAGAGAGAGAGAGAGAGGGAGGGACTACATGTGGGGGTGGTGGCTCACACTTGTAATTCTAGCACTCAAGAGGCTGAGGCAGGGAAGCTGCTGCAAGTTCAAGGCTAGCCTGGACTACATAGTGAGTTCCAGGCCAGCCTGGGTTATAGAGTGAAGACCTGTCTCAAATGAACAGACAAAACAATCCCCACTAAAAACAAAACAAAACTTTCCTAGGCTGGCCACAGTGAAGTTTCTGCCCACTCTGCAAAAACTGGGCTCAATGCCCCAACACCTAACACAAATGAATTTCCTGGAGGTGACGCTCATGCTGTGGTCGTAAGAGGGGGAACTCGGTGCACAGAAGAGGGTGTCCCTATATGCTGATGTCCGAGAAATAGAGTTGCAATCTGCTGTGAAAGAATTCACCAGAAATTAGCCAGCACTGTGGCACACACTTGAATCTCAGCACTCAGGAGGCAGAGGCCAGGGGATTGCTGCAAGTTTGAGGCCAGCCTGGTCTCCATAGAAAGTTTTAGGCTAGCCAGGGCTACATAGCAATATTTGTCTCAACGATTAAACAAACAAACACAAAATAAACCTGACTGTGATTTCAGCACTTGGGAGACTGAGGTAGCAGAACTGTAATTTTATGGTCAGCCTGGACTAAACAGCAAGGTTTTGTCTCAAGCACGCATGTGTGTGCACACACGTACACACATGAAATGCGTGTGTGAATAGAGCTGGCATTTCTAAAAGCACCATTCAGTATTTAACAGCATAAATTAAAACACATAAGCAAGCAGGTATAGAGTTTCCCTGTGAAGTTAAGAAGAAGAAAAAAGGCTGAAACTCAGGGTATTTGCAAAATGTGTGAATGTCCTCAAAACTTTCATTGGTTAGCAACCTCACCAACACCTCCACCCTTTAATGCAGTTCCTCGTGCTGTGGTGACCCCCAACCATAAATTTTTTGTTGCTATTTCATAACTGTAATTTTGCTACTCTTATGAATCATAATGTAAATATCTTGTTTTCCGATGGTCTTAGGAAACCCCTGTGAGAGGGTTACTTCACCCCAAAGAGGTCGTGACCCACATGTTGAGAACCACTATCTCAGCTGGCCAGTTAAAATAGTCATAATCATACATTTTTCAGCTGTGTGTATTTTGTCACAACAAAATAGCTAAACCAAATTTTTACAAAACACAAGCCAAATGAAGCAGAGCACCTGTGCCATAAAGGGGCTCTGGAAAAGGGTGTAACAGAGTGGTGTTGTGACTTTCCTCTAAGTCCGAAATTAACTCAAGAGTGAAAATGTTTAAATTCAGGCAAGAGACAGACGGGGCGTTTGTTGAGCAGGAGATGGATCTATGGGAGTCATTTTGTGATTGCTTACTTTTAAAATAAAAAAAATAGATTATCGCTGTATGTGATGCACATGTGGAAGCCAGGGGTCAACTCCTCTGGCTTGCCCCCGCCCCCCCACCACCATGTGTGGATTCTGGGGACCAGGCTCAGTTCAGCAGACTTGCATGGCAAGTCCCACTTCGAAATTTCCTTACTTTTAGAAAACATTATGAGACCTCAGCTCTTTCAGTTGTTGTTGCTGTTTTGTTTTGGCTTGGTTTGGTTTTCCCATACAGGGTTTCTCTGTGTAGCCTTGGCCGGCCTGGAACTCACTTTGTAAACCAGGCTGGCTTGTAATTTACAGACATCCACCTGCCTCTGCCTCCTGAGTGCTGGGATTAAAGGCGTGCACCACCACTAACTGGCTTGAGACTTCAACTTTTAGAAAAGTTTTTTTTCCAAGGAAAACAAAAAGCATAAAAGTTATTGCAAAAGAAGGGGAACCCTGGTCAGAAGACATACTGGCCAGGTTCACCACATCCAGTCTGGACAGCACCTGACTAGAACCCTGGATGATAGATACCTGTTGGAGCCCCTCCTTCCTGGAGCAGAGAGGAAGCCTGAATTTCAGCCCAGGAGAGGCTCCACTGCCTGTAGTGTGCCACATCCCTACCCAAAGATTAGGCTTCTGGCCTCTGCACCCTCCCCCAGCCCAGAATGCAGTTGGGCAGCAGGACTACTCATGACCAGAGTATGGGGGTCCAAGGCAGAGTCTGCAGAGGTCAAGATGGATAGGAACATGGAAAAGTGAGGAAGATCCCGAGTTAGACCACACCTGGGAAGGATCTGGAGACAGGTAAGAATGTGGACCTGGAAGGATTAAATAGCAGGAGGAGCTGCCTTCTTTGCCCTGCCAGACAGGTGATATACAGAGGACCCACGCTGCAGATACTGGAAATGTGGATATTTAAGGAGGAAGGTGATATTAGGCTACAGCCTCTCCAACGGTTCAGAAGGACACTTAGAACATACACAGAAGGGATGGGGGCAGGAGGGGGTGGGAAGGAGGAGAGGATAAAAGGGACCAGGAAGGGGGAGGGAGAAGGGAAGGAAGAGAGGGACAAACTGGTAAATACTATGACCAAGTGGAGGACCAGAAGTCATGCACTAGTCTGGTCCCTTGCAAATATGACGTTCTTTTCCAAAGTAAAAAATCAAAAGGAAGCAGTAGGCCAACCGAGTCTCAGCAACACACACAGGGCTACGAAGCAGAATATAATCCTAAGGAAAATGCTACAGATGCACACTGAGGATGCCTCAACAGTTATCTAATTCCTGCCGTCTGGTGCAAGGGGACAGGAGGCAGGGGAAACTGAGGTAAACCAGTGTCTGTTCCTGACAGCTGAGGGCTGACTTTGAAGTGATTCATTCAGTCCTCTGCCCAAAATAAAAACTGACTGCCTGGAGCTTTGAGAGAGCCACAGCTAGCAAGCTGAGCTTGTCCCTCATCCAGCCCCACACTGCTTAGCTGCCTTTGCACTGGACTGTACCCAAATAACTGCTTCCCTGGCTCTTAGCCACTACTACACACACAGTTAACTGGTGCCACAGCTGGATGCATGCAGCCCCTGTCCTCAGTCACCTACAGAGGCCTCCCCTGTGCGCTCCTCAGCTGCTGCCATGCGGGCCACCTTGGAGATGATGGGTGCCACGTTGGTGGGGCCATAGAGCTGGACCTTAGGCAGGCAGTTCTGGTAAGCTTCCACCACGCCCTGGATTCCTGTAGGGGATAGAGGAGTGAGCCTGGCCCAATACACCGCTACACCAAACCCACCACCAGCTCCTACCTTCACATTCATCATCCTCAGGGTTGAAATTGATGGCAAAGTCATGGGACACCTAGGTGGGGACAAGAGTCAGCCAGGACCTTCCCAGAACCCACTTATTCCCACTTACTGGGAGAAGAATGGTTTGTAGCTCTTGGGGCCCGTGTAAGAAGATCTCCATAGAGAGAGGAAGCCAAGAAGGAGGCAGACAGATAGACTAATGTTGGGCAATTACTTTGGCACCTGGACCCAACAATAACTACATATTCTAAGGTACATTAACCAATAAATCCCCTCTCCTGCCACATTTTTATACGTAAGCAGTATTGAATTGTCACCAAGTCTCTCTGATAGGAGCATGGGTGGTGCCCATAGATCCATCAGTCATCTCTCTGGACCATTGGCCAGAGTCTCCCCTCCCTCCACCCCCATCCCAAAAGGGAACGGTGGCAACCAGGGTTCTTATATCCAGGACACTCCTGCCTGGGGAGGTGAAGGCACTAGAGGCCTAGGCAGATGCACGGGAGTAGGGATAGGGCCCAAGCCCAGGACCCTCCTACCTCATACTTGGGAGGGATCCGGGCTCCAAATCCCAAAGCAGAAAATCGCTTGTCACTGGAAAAGAGGTGGAGTTGATAACTCCAGGAGCCTGGCCCCCAAAAGCGAGTCAAGGTAGACACTGGACAGAGACTAGGAGGCCTGGGCCTTGCTGGATCAGGAATAGGGGTCATAGGCATGCCACATCGGGGAAACAGAGGCACTGAGCTGAAAACCATCATGAGCACAGGCAGGAAGTGGTAGAATTGACAGTAAAGGGATGGAAACTGCTCCTGGGTTCTTCCCTCCAGGCCTGTAGACCCTGCTTAGGGGGCTTTCTGGCCTGAGGTGGTATCTCCTGAAGGGAACCAACTCTGCCCTACTATATTCCTCTGCTCTCCCCACAGAGAGGGAGGGATCTATGGGCAGGGGGCTCTGGGTGGGGATCTGGGCCATGGTGAGGATCTCAGAGCCCCAGCCCCCTGGGTTTGCACTTAGCCTCTGCCTAGCTAGTCACCTCAACTTCTGTGAGTGTGTTTTCTGCTCTATAAAACGATTTCCAATCAATCCCCAGGTTGTGTCACAGTGAAGCGGTGTGTGGCCATGTTAGAGACGTAACACATCACCCCCATCCCCTGAAGGTTCTGTACCCACTGCCGGGGTCACTTGAGATGGCTGTCTGGTGGGTATACTGTCTGTCTCCACAGGGTTGCTGCGAAGATGTTCCCACTCTTGCTGGAGCTGACCTCTCTGGCACATCATGTGTCAATCACAGCACCACTTCAGAAAAGCCCCCAAGCCCAACTCGGCCCAGAGAGATGGGTGAGGCCGCACCTGTCATAGTCCTGGCAGACCTCGCCCACGGCCACCAGTGCCCTGAGGTACTCGTTGGGCTGGTAAGGGTTGATGTGGTGGAGGGAGCAGCTGTTCCTTGGGTCACCATTGGAGGCTGTGAAGTCAATGGCTACCTGCAAGAGCCAGGATGGTGAGCTTCAGTGTGCGCCTGCACTGGACAGGCAGAGGGTACCCAAGCCCAGCTTGTTGTCAAGAGCCTAGCATCTTAGTTTCCCCAGCTCTTTGCAAACTTGACTGTTCACTGGAATGACTCACTATCCCCCAGGACATGAGGGGGCTACCCAGACCCTGAAAACTGTAAGTATCACTCTTGGAATCCCAGGATGACATTGACCCTATCCTCTGGGAGAATCTCTGAGCTAAATTCCACTCAGAGGGACAAGGCCCATGCAAACACTCTCTCTTCCCAACTACTACTCTCTTAGCCTAGTCCCCTCTGCGCCTTCCACCTCGTCATCCTCAAGGCCACTTTGGGTGTGGCTCTGTTCAGCAGCCCAGCATAGCTGTACATAAACACAGGGTCTGTGATGGCCTCCCCTAGACCTTCTGTCCAGACTACTTCTGTCTGTGATCTGCCCAAGGCTAAGCCAGCTGAACTCTGCAGCCCTTGTTAGCCAAGTGCTCACTCCTGTTTCCTCTTTAAGGCTGTTTGTTTTTCTCCTGTCCCTGTGATTTTGCAGAAGGTACGCCCTGGATGCTGCCATGGGACAGTGACCCAGGGCTGGTCCTGAACTCCCGCATCCTATTCCTGGTCGACATAAAGGGAAAGACACAGGGAAATGTGGATGAAAAACGAACAGTGCCCAGGAACCTGCCACTCTCTGTACATGGACTGGGGTCCAGGGGCTTGACAGAAGTCCTGCCCTGTTGGCTGAGGGCAGTATGGAGGGCAGGACCCATGGACTCACCGTGCAGTGGATCTGGCAGCCACCCATGATGTAATCCAGGAAGGAGTGGACCCTGTGGAGCTTCCAGGCAATGCCATTGGCAAAACCACTCATGGCCCTTCATCCCACCCTACTCCACCCAGGCCTGTGTCAGTGGGGGAGGGAGCCTACTGGGCATCTCTCCCCAAGGCACTATAATCTGTGGGGGCATCTTCCTCCTCCCTCCTCCTTCCCAGGTATTTCAAGATCCCACAGTGAAGCCCACCAGTCCTCAGAACTGTATCTTTGAGAACCACCTGACAATGTGGAGAAGCTAATCCCACCAACTCATCCCCCTAGGGGCTCCGGGCAACGCTGAGGCTCACTCACCTTCAGGTCTGTCAGGACCACCACCCCAGAATTCTTGTAATTGCGCTTCTTCTGTTTGTACTTGGCATTCACACAGTCCCACTGGGCCTGGGACAGAGACAGGGACAGGCAGAAACTCCACCCAGAGCAGCAGTATCCCAGGCCCCTCCCACAGAGGGGCCAGGAGCCCCTGGAAGTCCCAGCGCTGCTGGCGACCTCACACTCTCCACAAGACTATCTCCAACAGTGAGTACAAGGCCAATGCTGCCCATGGGGGTCAGGGATGGCCTCTGTGGGGACATACCCATTCCACAAGGGAAGCATTCAAGCACACAAAGGAACAGAGAGGAGCCATGTAGATGAGACTGTGAGCAAGGAAGGGGCCCGGGTTAGACCCTGCACACACTGCAGCCTCGGCACCATGGTCAGCCCATAGAGCTTCCTGAGGGACACCAGGGCCCAGGAAGGAGCCCAAGGCAACTCTCCCGCCATACCCACCCAGCTTCAGAGGCTAGGTCGGTCCCGGGAAGGGTGCCTCTCCCGCCTTGACACACAAATGGACATGGTTGCTTACATGGCCACTTGCTCGCAGGCCCCTGTTCTAGTCACGGGGTGGGCGTCACTGCTCTCTGTCACCCTCACATCTTCTCAGCCTCCCAGAGACCCACTGGACCGAGTCAGAACCTGCGGCCCGAGGTGGGCCAGCAACTCACCTGCTCCTCCTCAAAGGCCTTCTGCATCTCTGTGAAGGTGGTGGTGAACTCGCCAATGAAGTCATGCTTCCCTCGAGAGTCATAGTCCCAGACCAGGCACTGGGGAGCCAGGCCTCTCAGTGGACCATTCCTCAGAGGACCTGCGGCCCTTCCAGCCCCGGCCAGGCTCTCGTTCATCACTCCCCTTCCCCGGGCTCCCCTTATCCGCAAATCCTAACTCTCCAAGGCCTTAGTGGCTCTGGAAGAACGGGACACCTGCCCATGGGTCCTGGCCCTGACCCTATGGCTATGTCCCTACTCCCCCACCCCCACCCTGACCTCACTTCCTGTTCTGTCTCCTGCTCCATCCCCACCTTCAGAGGCCGAGTCTCCTCGCAGCTGCAGAGGGAATTCAGTGACAACTTGAAGGGTTCCCACACTGGGTTAAGGTTATTCTTCACTACCTGTGGGCCAGAAAAGGCTGACTTGGGTGGGAACCCCAAGGGAGCTAGGGTCCAGGGAGCCATGGGCTCCTTAGGTCATGGGTCCCTTAGCCAGGGTACAGGGTTCTCAGCTGCCAAGGGCCACTTGAGTGGCAGCCTGTACCCAGCCCCATGGAGACTATGGGTACCAGGAGACTAGGTTCATTTCAGGCTCCAAACAGGACTGGGTGTAGCCAAGACCTTCCCGCTCTCCACTCGCTCCACCCCTGACCCTAATAGCTTCAGCCTCACTCCAGCCCCCCGGGTTGTTTTCTCCTTAAATAGATTCTCTTCACTCAAATTAATTTGTCTCAAAAGGAAACTCTCTCCCTGCTGTAACTAAACTCCTGTTTCCCGGCAGGAGGAAGCAGGTATGCCTAAAAATAGGAACGGTAACAACAAAGCTGCCACGCTAAATTTGGGCGGACAGAGAGCCAAGTCCACCCAGCTGTTCCATCCATCGAAAGAGAGTCAAGGGTCTTGGAGGTAAAGACTCCACAGCCACAGGGTTGGAGTATCCCTCTGTCCCCTCTCTGAGAGGATGGATGCTGGACCCTTTTCCGATCACTTCACTGGACCCCTGAAGGCCCTCTGTTATCAGGCAGTGGGTTCCTCACCTCTGTCCTGTACACCAGCTGCTCACTCCCGTCATCGTTGACCCGATACAGCTCTAGGAAGGGGTCCGACTTGCTGAAGAGGTCCTGGAGCATCAGAGGCTGTGCTGGCAAGGGGGCTAGCCAGCTCTGGGCTGGAGGACGGCTCCATCCCTTACGGCTGGATGCTGGCTTCAGCCCCTGCAGTCGGTGTTCCATCCCTTCCCCACAGACTCACTCTCCCCAGGCATAAAATAAGTTGCAAACATTCCCTGAGAGCCCACAGTGAGAAGAGCTCACCATGTGGAGCCTTCACTGGCTTCTGAAGTGCCCACGGTGACCCCAGGTGTGTTTCCAAGCCCTTGCCCTGCTATCCCTCACTCCTGCTGCCTGGAGTCTAACTGGCTGTTCACACCCCACCCACCCACTCTTGATTGTCTTGGCTTAAATGTCTCAAAGGGGACAGATACCTACCTATTCAGGGTCAGTCCCCACCCCATGCGAAGAACCTATGAACCAGGCTCTGTCCTCCCTCCCCATCATGACACATGTACCCTGCCAGAGGTAGCTTGGTGACCACATGCCACGCGCGGTGCAGAACAGTGCTTTCTACCCATAGAGCAGAGTGTATGTGTACGTGGTGGGAGGGTGACAGCGATGACAGCGATGACTGTAAAGTGTAACAGTTAGCAGTGAACACAGTGACTAGGCCGAGACTGTGACAGCAGCATGCCAAGGACGCCACACACAGCCACCACGTCACTTGTTTCTGAAGCTTAGAGGCCAGTGCTGAGCAGGAACCCGGTTTTCACAAGGAGCCAGCCTGCAGGAGGCTCAGAGCCCCACATGCAGTGGATCCCAGCCTCACCTTGTCGTCCAGCTTCCTGGCTTGGAAGGAGAGCTCCACATAGCCGTTGTTCCCAGAGATGTCCTCGGCTATCACCTGAGTGTGTCACATGGGGTCTGTGGGCTCCAGGCCTCCGCTCTCATCCTCTCGCCTCAGCTGCCACTGGCCCTGAGGGGGCTCTGGTCTCTCCTAGCAGCTCCACAGCTACAGTCCATCTGAGGCCTCCCTACTTACCTCCTCCCAGGACACCCCTCCCCCAAGCCACCTGGGAAGGGAAGACCTCGGCTCTGGGGCTCACCGTGATGGTGGATTTGCCAGCGTTTCTGCCGAATCTCAACAGCAATGGGCGCGTCATTTTCTTCTGGGCCACAATCTGGAAACCAAGGAAGTCAGCGGGGAGAAGGGAGGAAGAGGATGTTCCTCGGCCTCCCTAGGATCCTATCTCAGCTCTCACTGGATCCCCACCATCCCCTGGTCTCCGGCGGCCTTCCTGCTGCTGCCAGAATGTACTACTTGACATCTGTGCGCCATTTCTGATTTCCACCACTCCTGGGCCAACCTATCACCTGCCTGTGGGGCACACACATCCCACAGTTGGCAGATGTGCAGGGCACCAGAAGCAGATTCATTAGGACATCAACCCTCAGTCAGGACCTCACTGTTCAGCTGTCCTTCCTTATTCTACTCTTCAGCTTGGGAATGAAAACCCTCGTAGGGTGGCTGGTTGAATTGCTCTGAGCCCCACCCTGGATCCCTACTGTCCCAAACAAGTCAGGGTGACCCTGGGGTGGTGGAAGAAGCACACTTGACTTTTCTGCAAGGCACATAGAGAGGGCCATTCAGATGTGAGCCCCAGTGCTCAGTTCCTAGAGAATTCATCTCCCAGCTTGACCTCCCCTCCTCACCTGTCCCACTGGGTAGATAGCTCACCCATGGAGCAATGCACCCCTAACTTAAGGAAGGAGATGACTTCACATAGCCCAGGCTGCACACAGCATATCACCTGGCCAGCGGGGAACAGAGTCTAAGAGGCAAGATTGAGTAAACCCTCTTGGGCAGCATGCCCTGGTCTAAATAACAACCTTTACATCTCCCTGGAGAAATCAGTGGTTCTGTGTGTGAAGGCCCAAGATGGTTCTGTTTACAGGGGAGCTATCACCTTGACTTTCAGGGGTGCCGTCTGCTTCACATTTGCTACTGGTTGGTTGGTGGACACCAGGGGATGATGGTAGAAAGAGCTAGAGATTGTGGTACCTGACAAGTAGCCAAGCTGAATTCAATGCAGACAGCACACAAAGATGTGTTTAAGTATAGAATCTGTATGTGTCCATCTGCATGTGGCCACGTACGTCTATATATGTTCCTGTAGCTCAGTCCTGCCTGGGCTGTGGTGCATGTGTGTGACGGTATCTATGACCGTGCCATCTTCCGTAGGACCCTGGAAGGAATTGTGCCCCATTCCATCTCAGTCTTTGCTGTGTAAAACAGGGATGGCAAAAGGATCTGAAGAGAATGAGCCCTGACCAGGCAGTGACAGGGATGAGTCACCACATGATGCTGGAATGGAGGATCAGGCACCCAGAGCATGCCGTGTGGTTAACACACAGGAAACTCAAGAACAGAAACAGCCAGGGGACTGGCAGGAAAGGGCAGCCTCAGGGTGACAGAAACGGTCATCTAGTCAGTAGAGAGTCACATGAAACCGTCCATCTCAGTGTCCTCATTTTGTTGTCTATAGACTACTCCTGAATGTAAAGGACATCCTGTGGCCGGTTGGGAAGGGTGGAGCACACAGCCCGGTGCATATGCACAGTAACTAGTAGCAGAAAGCGCTTGTCACATGGGCAGCAGAAGAGAAAAGTTAAGGATAGCGGCTCCAGGCTGCCGGCAGAGTCCCCCAGGCAGGACACCCTCACGCACTACTCCCCTCAACCCCGGCTGCAAGGAAAAATATGGAGACCTCCCCTTCCCTTGTGTGGAGTAGAACCCAGAACCTCAAATGTTAGTTGCAAACATTGCCACTGAGCTGTGCATCAGGCTTGGGTGCCGATGTGGAAAGACTCCTGAAGAGAAAAAAAACCAGGTTGCAGAACAGTGTGTAGGGTGAGTGTGGTTTGGGGAGTCAGGGGTAAGGAAGGAGGGAGGGAGGGAGGAAGGAAAGGAAATGGGGCGAGAAAAAGATTTTTAAGAAGGGATCTTTAGCCAAGGCTGATGGGGAATTGGTGGTAATCCTCCTTCCTCAGCCTGCTGCGGGCTGGGATTAGAGGTGAGAGACACTACAGCTGTGGTTTCCTTTCTTTCCTTCTCCTTTCTTTTTTTCTTGTGTTGAGACAAGATCTCAAATAGCTCAGACTGGTCTCATTTGACATATGTCTGAGGATGGCCTTGAACTCCTGGCCTCCTGCCTTCAGTTCCCAAATGTTGGAATCACAGGCATGTACTACCTACCATACCTGGTTTGTGGGAGGGAGTGGATGTGTGTGCGTGTATGTGTGGGTGTGCACAGTGCCTCTCACCGAACCTGGAGCTAGATGGCTGGCCAACAAGCTCCAGTGACTTTCCTGCCTCCTTCCCTCAAAGCTGGAGACTTGCACCCGGGCCCTCGTGTTTGTGCGACAAGAGCTCTTACCAGGTGAGGTATTTTCCCAGGCGCTCTCTCTCTCTCTCTCTCTCTCTCTCTCTCTCTCTCTCTCTCTCTCTCTCGACAGTCTCATGTAATCTAAGTTGGTTTCAAATTCACCACATAGCTGAAGATGACCTTAATTTTTTTTTTTTTTTGAGACAGGATCTCTTTATATAGCCTTGGCTAGAACTCACTATGTAGATCAGGCGGGGTTTGAACTCACTATCTGCTTCTACCTCCTGAGTGCTGGGATTAAAAATTTGCACCACCATGCCTGGCAACCTTAACCTTCTGATTCTTTCGCCTCTACTTCTTTTTATGTGGTGTTGGGGACATCAAACCCGGGGCTTTGTGCACGCTAGGCAAGCACTCTATCAAGTGAGGTACGTTCCCACCTAGCTATTTTTAAAGAAAAAAAATGTATGTTTATTCACTCATGTGAGAACACTTCTCTGAAATGGGTACAAAGACCTGGTGGCAGGGCTGGGCAGGGGCTGGAGGGAGACATGCCAGAGCAGGCCTACTGGAAACAGGAGCATATAACCCAGTTCAAAAAATATTAAAACTGGTATGGTGCTGCATGCCTGCAATTTCAGTGATTGAGAAATAGAAACAAGAGGATCAGAAATTCAGTGTCATCCTTGGCAACACGGGGTGTTCTGGGCCCACCTGAGCTATATGACATCCTGTTTTTACACACACACACACACACACACACACACACACACACACACACACACACACGTATACACATTCCTAAAAAAAATAGACAAACACAACTTCTGGGAGAGATGGCTTAGCAGTTGAGAATACTGCTGCTCTTGCAGAGGATCCAGGTTTGACTCCCAGCACCCACAGAGACTCACAACTGTCTGTAACTCTGCTTCCAGAGGCTCTGACACCCTCTTCTGTTCTCCAAAAACACAGGAGGGACATGGTACACAGACGCAGCTGCACGCAAAACACCCATACACACAAAATAAATAACTTGTTAAAAATTGATAAGGGGCCAGGGTTGGTAGCACACGCATTTAATGCCAGCGCTTGGGAGGCAGAAACAGGTGGATCGCTGAGTCTCAGGAGCAGCCAGGGCTACAAAATAAGACTGTCTAAAACAAACAACACAACTAAGAAAAGGTGGGCGTGCTGGTGCACGCCTATAACAGCAGGACTCAGGAGGCTGAGGCAGGAGGATCTCAGCTTCAAAGACAGCCTGGGCTGTCTCAAACAAACAAATGCTTTTAAAAGAAGTGGAGATGGGCAGGGGCCAGATGCTCATCCCAGCAGAATCCGTGAGTTGAGGGCATCACTGGCCCCAGAAGCTCTTCCTACCCTCCTCCCTTCCAAGGTAATGGGTACTCACTTGCCCCAAGGTACACTCCATGCCCCCTAGAAAGTCATCATCCTGGCAACTCAGCCCACTAGGCCCGTGGGTGTCATACACCTCAAACCGTAGCTTCTGCACCTCCTCGAAGTAATAGTCGACAGTGAAGACCTTGGAGAACACGGGATGCAGGCTGCTCTTTACCACCTCGGTTCTGTCCACCTGCAACGAGCCGTCACAAGCTACACTTTCTCTGTATCCTCTCATCTCATGCCCACCACTGCCTGCCTATCCCCACATTACAGATGATAAAACTGAGGCTTAGAGACCAGCAGGGTTCTGCCCAAGGACCCAGATGTCAGGAACAGAATTACATTCCATAGCCGGGCGGTGGTGGCGCACGCCTTTAATCCCAGCACTCGGGAGGCAGAGCCAGGCGGATCTCTGTGAGTTCGAGGCCAGCCTGGACTACCAAGTGAGTTCCAGGAAAGGCGCAAAGCTACACAGAGAAACCCTGTCTCGAAAAACAAAACAAAACAAAAAAAAGAATTACATTCCAGCCTTGGGCAGGGCAAGCCCAGTGTGGAGACCTTTACCCAGCACTCAGCTGAATGGCAAGGAGATATCCCTGCTGGAGGGACCTGTGTTCACCAGCCTCTCCCACTGAGTTCAACACCATCCTCTAGAACATATACTAATGAAAAGCTTTAGCTAATAAACTATCAAATCCCCTCACCATAGAGGCTTCTACCTACAAAAAAAATGGGTCTGCATGGGCCCTTTCCAGAAATCTATGCACCAGGCAGCAATCGGACCAAGCAACAAAATGTTATGGGAAGACCTGGACCACAAGATGGTCCTTAAACAGCCTGGAGTAGCAGAAGCCCCCCAGGACCTTCTAGGCATTTAAACACATGGTTTGGGGCAGGCCCTTCGTCTTCAAGGTCAGTGAACCACAAGATTTCTCAGCCCCAGAGCCTAAGAAATAAATGACCTGAGATGTCAGAGTGAATATGCAGAGCAGGTGTTAAGTGAGGTACCACCCCATATGTCTCCCCCTTCACTGCCTGGATCCTCTGCATGCCCTAGGTTCCCGGGCTAGCCTGACTATAATCACAGGGTCTGTCTAACACCTCTTTCCTGGCTCTTCTCCCCTGTTTCCTGCACATGACTGCCACAGCCAAGGGGTGCCCTGGAGCTGCTGTTGGGGGGAGCACTCATGCTTGGCTAGGGACTCAGGCTCAAGTCTTCTATGCCTGTTAGGCCTTCCAGCTAAGGTGTGCCCCTGTTTCTCACTCCTGAGATGAAGCCAGTACCCCATGGAAGATGGTGACTGAGAATTGGGTTTTGTACAGCACAGAACATGGGCAATATCCCTGACACTGGCCCAGAACTAAGATCTGAGGGCTAATGAAAGCTAGTGAGTACAGCAAAGTGCACTTCTCTGAAGATGCTGGCTAACCTGGGTTGATGGATGTCCAGCTGAAAAACCCCATGCTGGAGGCAGGCACTCAGATCTGGGTCAGCAGTGGGCATTAAGGAGCGGGGAGGGGCTTGCTGTCCTCAACCGTAGCCACATGCAAATAATTTGCGATTTCGCCTACCCAGTGAGGAGACTGGTGACAGGCTGGGCAGTCCTCTTGCCAGGGCGACTTGAAGCTGAACGATGGAGTCGCTGTCCAGCCCTGCCCAGCTCCATTCTACCCAACCAGCGAGGTCTAGCTAGCAGCCCTAACGCCACTGGCCACCCTACTTCAGGTGCCTCTGCTTCATGAGTGAGAAGCTCATAGTCATGGCAGCCAACGGAGGAGGACCCTGTGACCTTAGACAGCCCCTACACTTGCCTTAGGCATTTTCCTCCCATTCCTGAGCCGCACTCCCTCCTGAGCTCATTAGTGTAGCCTGGGCGCTTCACGCTAGCGCTACAGTCCCAGCCTGAGCCCCTCAGCTGCACTTCTGGGCACTTTCCACCAAGGTCCCTTTCAGCCGCTGCTCCCTTGCTGCCCCGCCCTTCTCATAGCAGGTGGACACCTCCTCTTTTGCCCTAGTAGCCCCAGATTCAGGACATCCTTGCCGGCATCCCAAATCTCAACTCACACTTAGCTCTTCAGGTCCCAGCTCCAGGACGCTGGCTGCCCTACCTGTAGCCACTGGCCCTGTGCCTGCTGCAGCAGCACCACGCTGGGGTCGGACTTGGTCAGCGGGTCCCGGTCCAGCAGGTGCCGACAGCTCAGCCGCAGCTCCACCTTCGAGGCGCAGGGTGCAGGCACCACCCCCGGGGCCACCGCGCGCTCCGAGTCCCCGCTCATGCTTCAGGCTCCGCACTCGAACCGGTGGGCGCCAGAGAAATGGTGGCTGGGCCAGGCGTGGCCGCGCTCCCCCGCACGCCCGCCGGGCGCGGGCACACGTGTCTCGGGCGGCCGCCACAGCGCGGGGGCTGTAGGGCGGCGATGCGGCGGGGAAGGGATGGAGGGGACCGCGAAGGGGCGGGGCCGGGGTGGGGCCACAGGAGAAAAGCGCAGGGACTAAGCAAGGAGCAGATAGCCGGAGAGCCGTCCGTTGGAGCTGGGTTTCGATCCCCGCACTGGAGCTGAGAGATAGGGGTCTGGGTTTGCAAGCAAGCTCTGGGATTGTGGTGTCTCTGTAGGGTTCATTCGGTGCTGGAGGCTCGGCACTACTGGAACCTAGGCACCGGGTTTGCGTCCAGACAGCCTCTGAGAGAGGCACAACCCACCCCAGGGTCGCACCAAAGCTCTGCGCCCCTCTTAGGATTGTCACCTGAATCATGAGCAACTTAGTGGGAGCTCACTGTTTGCACGGTGCAAGCGGGGCGCAAGAAGGGTGTCCCTGTCTCTCAGAATTTGTAGGCCCAAGGTAGGCAAGGAGAGTTCTTGCCAATCTCTGGTCTATGGCTGAGGGTCAGAGAGGGACTAGGAATGTTCTCTCCCAGCCACTCTTACCTGACAGTCCACAACCAACCCCCAGGTGGAAGGGAAGCATCATTACCCCTCCCTCTCATACCCTCTCCTCCCCAGGGAAAGGCATTCGGAAGAGGAGGTGCTGACGGACGACAGAAATTACCTCCCAGCCCATTCTCTTTGCCAATTTCTGCCTAAATATAGGGCCGAGACCTGACCAAAAGTCATGGAGGTAAGAGGGTAAGGGAGACCATGAAACTGAGGTGAAGACCGAAGGAGATCCGCGGCGCAGGGCAGGGTGGGCGTGCTGTAGGAGTGGAGTGGGGCATGTTAAACATCAACAAACAGGACTCCAGAAGATTCTGGGGTCAAAAAGGGTGTCAATACCAAGACAGGGATATATAGGGTGGTGGGAGGCGGGTGTGAGAGAGAGCACCAGTAGCCTCCGGTGAGATATGGTGGGGACAGTATCTCCTCCACTAGCTTGGCACCCCAGACAGAGCCATCCCACTAGGCAAGGGTCTTCTTGTGGCTCAGTATATGGGGCTCTAGCACCTAACCTCCACCTCCTGAGGCTGCAGAAAGATGCCTGGAAGCTTGCCTCAAGCTTGCCTCCCAAGCTGCCCTCTATCATCCTTCTCCAAGGCTGGCCCCAGGCAGTACTCTTCCCTCTGTTGAATCCAGCCTAGGCGGCTCTGGACCTCTCAGCCCTGCATCTTCCAGGACTGGGAGACCCCATGTTTAGCCTACCAATTGCTTGTGGGATAGTGGTAGTGGCTTTCTGTTCACAGGGACCTGTGGTCCTACCAGAGTCTGGTTCCCTGGGATTCCACCATTCTGGGTCAGACAGACCCTCAAACTCTTAGCCTCTCAGCATTGAACATGAGCAAAAAGAATGGGAGATCCAAGCAAAGGAACACGCTCCAAGTAGATACCCAGACCTCTCAAAGGACCAGCAGTGCCAGCAGAACCTCTGGTCTCTCTAACAGGATTTGAGGGGCACTGGCCCTTGGGAAGTTCTCAGGTCCCCAGCAAGACTTGTTGCCTTGACATCACTGAGTGTCCACCTCTTTGTTCAGGAAGCTGCTCTACAGTTCCTCCAACACTGAGGTCTACACTGTCTAAGCAGACTGCTGGACAGCACTAATCTGTGGACGTGTCCAACCACCCCATTTTAACGGAAGAGGCATCAAGGAGTTTAGCATAATGCGATGGTTCAGTGCAGGCCAACAACAAGCCTAACAACATCCTGGACCCCACATGGTAGAAGGAGAGAACTGATCTCTATGTGTACATGCACACACAGACACACACAGACACACACAGACACATGGACACACACAGAAGGGGGGATGAATTTACAAAGAGAAAGTTCATTTAAAAAAGGTGGAGTCAGCCGGGTAGTGGTGGCATACACCTTCAACCCCAGCACCTGGAAGGCAGAGGCAGGAGGATCTCTGTAAGTCTGAGGCTAGCCTGGTCTACATAGTGAGTCCCAGGACAGTCAAGACTACATAAGACCTTGTCTCAAAACAAACAAGCAAACAGAAAAGGTTCAAGGGGCTGGAGAAATGGCTCAACAGTTAAAAGCACATACTGCTCTTACGAGGGACCTGAGTGCAGTTCCAAACACCCATGTCAGGTGGATCATAACCACCTGTTACTCCATCCAGGTGAAAGGACCAAGCAGATGCCATAACAGGCTGCTCAGTCTTCTCTCAGAGATCAGGCCTCAATTTCAGTTTCCTGAGGCTTGAGCAAGCAGTTTCTGGAAGGGCCATGAACAAAAGACTGCTCAAAGTTTAGCCAGATGTTTACTTTCTGGGGCCCCTCACCAACTTAGAGTTATGTGCAGTACGTGCTTGACCAGCCAGCCCCCATGGTGGCTCAAGGACAAAGCCTGGGACTTGTGCTGGACTGCCCCCAAAGTAATAAATTGTAACCACCAACCAGTAAATTCAAAGGTTACATACCCTCACCCAATTAAAAGAGAACAGAGATAAAGATAAACCAATCCGAGTTGCACCCGTGCAAAACTCCCCCAACCCCCCTGAAGGGCTTGTGGATTTTGCCTTTAAAAAGCTAGCCACACAAAGAAAAAGCAAGTTCCTCCTGGCCTCACGACTACGAGTGAGTGCTTTGGATCGAGCTTCCCTGTCCGCGGCTTGTAAACAAACAGAAATAAACCATGCTAATTGCATTCTGAACCTAAGGTCTGTGGTGGTTTGTCTTTGGGGTCCCAATCTGGGCATAACACAGGTATCTGATGCCTCTGGCCTTCTCGGGCACCAGCACTCACGTGCATATACCCACACAGAGACACAGATACATACACATAATTAAAAATACAGTAAGGCCGGGCGGTGGTGGCGCACGCCTTTAATCCCAGCACTCGGGAGGCAGAGCCAGGTGGATCTCTGTGAGTTCGAGGCCAGCCTGGGCTACCAAGCGAGTCCCAGGAAAGGCGCAAAGCTACACAGAGAAACCCTGTCTCGAAAAACGGAAAAAAAAAAAAAAAAAAATACAGTAAGTGAGCTGGGCGGTGGTGGTGCACGCCTTTAATCCCAGCACTTGGGAGGCAGAGCTAGGCGGATCTCTGTGAGTTCGAGGCCAGCCTGGTCTACAGCTCGAGATCCAGGAAAGGCGCAAAGCTACACAGAGAAACCCTGTCTTGAAAAACCAAAAAAAAAAAAAAAATACAATAAGTGTTGGGTGGCGGTGGCACACACCTTTAATCTCAGCACTCGGGAGGCAGAGCCAGGCAGGTCTCTGTGAGTTTGAGGTCAGTCTGATCTACAGAGGGAGATTCAGGACAGGCACCAAAACTACACAGAGAAACCCTGTTTCAGAAAAAAAAAATAATACAATAAGCTTGAAAAACCAATAAAGTGTTCAGGAACTGGTTCAAAGTCACCTGCCTGTCTGAGGGGTTCAGGACTTCACCCTGAGTCTGGTTCAACATTTCCATCACAAAAGCATAGCTCTAGGGCAAGTGACAGATGGTCATTCAGAGAAAGAAAAGAAGACTCAAGGAGCTTGGCAGCTGGAATCTCAGACCAAAGGTTTTAATCAACCTCCTGGAAGCTGGCTTGGTGTTTGCTGGCTCCTGGTGGCCCTGACTGCACTAATAGACAGACAGAAATTACGGGGGACTAGCTGGTGTCCCTGCAGCCTGGTCAACCTGATGCTTGGGCCAGGTCCCCCCCCCCCCCCCCCCCCCCCCCGCCCAGTCCAATAGCCTAAGGGCCAGGAAGGGGGAGGCAAGCCCCACCTCCCAGCTCTAGGTAGCAATGAATTCCTTCTGTTCCCAGCTTCTGCTGCCTCGGGTTTTTCTGCTAGCCAGACACAGGAAATGAGATCTCCCATCAAGTATATTTTGATATTACCATACAGGAAATAACACATGTCAGTGCTGAAATGTTAAAATACTGATAAGTGAGCAAAAAAAAAAAAGTTAAATTGAGCACCCAGACAAAAACACCATTATCATTTTATGTTTATCCCTCCAGCTTTTTAAATGCAAAAACGTTTTTCATTAATTGAAGGGTTTTGTTTGTTTGGTTGGTTTTTATAAAGGAAGTTTTTGTTTTCTTTTTTATTTTGTTTTGTTTTATGAGACAGACACTCTCCATGTAGTCTTGGCCTCCCAAGTGCTGGAATTAAATGTACAAACCACCATGCCTGAGGTCTTTCTCTTTCTTTTCTTTCTTTCTTTCTTTCTTTCTTTCTTTCTTTCTTTCTGAGGGTTTTCTTTTTTAAGAGATTTTAAATTTTTATGTGTGTTTGCCTGCTTGTATATATGCATGTGCACCATTTATGTCCAGTGTCCTTGGAGACCAGAAGAGTATATTGGATCCCCTAGAACTGGAGTTACTAATGGTTGTGAGCCACCATGTGGGTGCTGGGGACTGAACCCAGGTCCTCTGCAAGAGAAGCAAGTGCTGTTGGGGGCTGAAGGAATGGCTCCGGAGTTAAGAACTCTTCTAGAGGACTCACAACTGTCTGTAACTGCACTCCCAGGAGATTGGATGCTCTCTTCCGGCCTCCTACGTAGCGTACAAACACACATGCTTGAGAAGCACCTATACACATAAAATAAAGTCTAAAAATTAAGTAAAATCATTTGTTTCCTTTTAACTCAGATATAGTTGCAAAAACTGTAGGAAACAATATAACAGAACATATGTTTTATGTCTTTATTTTATGTACATGAGTATTTAGCCTGTATACATGTGCCGTCAATGTATGCCTGCTGCCCTTGGAGGCCAGGAGAGGGTGCCAGATATCATGGACCAAGTTACAGGCTGTTAGTTCAAACCACAGCCATGTTGGTTCTGGGAACCAAACACAGGTCCTCTGCAAGAGCAATGATGCTCTTAACTACTGAGCCCTCTCTCCAAACTACTTATGCGATTTTTTTTTCAGTGTTTTAGGTAGGTATCAGTAATACTATTTATTTTATTATTTTTGTTTTTGTTTTTGAGAATTCCATGCATGAGCTGGGTGGTGGTGGTGCACACCTTTAGTCCTAGCTCTT